GTTACCAAAATATGTGAGCAGGGATGTGTCCGAGCATCGTGCCTTTGACAGCTCCATGCACGTGGCTGAGTAGCCTGGGGACTCTGTGTTTCGTGGTAGATTTCTTTTTTGCTTTGATTTCTTGGTTGTTTTCGATAACCTTGGAAATCTGGGCTCTATTTCTGCCTTTTGTAACATCAGGCTGCAACTAATTCAAGCCAGGCCAGATCCTGACCACAGGTATGCCAGTGTAAATTTGAATGGAGTTGCTTACGTCTTGGTTTGGCCCGATGTGAATGGAGTAAGTTCGGGCTGATGCCAGAGGGCTGAGGTCAGAATCTGGCCCATCCTTTCCTGCATGCAGTGTAATTTGTACGTGTCTCCTGGCACCACTGGGGTATCGTATGGCTTGTGTAATTCTGGTTCCAACCTGCCAGAGTGCCTTGCAATATCTCTCACCCCAAGTGGCTGCTGCAGGAACAAGCTGCTGCGTAATTGCCCCCGTGAGCTGTGCATACTTCAGGGGGCTGAAAGCCCGAGGAGGCCGCGCAGAGTGATCGGCTCCACGGATGTGGGTCCGTACGTGCTCAGAAGCTTCTGATGCTTAAATATCAGAAGCGAGGAGGGAGTGTGTAAAGGAAAGCAAGGTATCTCCTCAGTGCCATTAGCTGTGTCCCAAGTGGGCACCGGTTGTTCCATTAGCGGCTGGGAAGGCGATTAGCGCTGCTGGCTGCGCCGCATCCCTTCCGCCTCTCCCAGTGCACGCTCCCTCCTGCCGGAAAGCTGAGCCCAGACCAGTGCCTTGGCTGCGTGGGGTTTTTCCTTTCATTTTAAATACTTCTCGGTTGTGTTTTTATGTCCCAGAGACACATGGAATGATTTATCCACAGCTGGAGCACAGTTCGGTCCTGGTGCATTCTGCCTGTTGGGTGGGGGGATGAAGCTTCCCCCAGCTGGCATTGGCACAGTGGGTGAGGTACCTGGGTACCCAGGAACCCTGGCAGCCCCCCAGGATGGGTCCTGTTCAGGGACTGAGGCAGATCTGCAGCGGGGTCACTTCCACAGTATATGTGGCAAGGGAGCAAGGTTGCCTCCATTAGAAAGGGCCTGTAATGAGATGGGAATATGCAAGGTCTGGGAGCAGATACCTCCTGGTTAAGGGACATGCTCTGGTCACTTGTGACCTGTTACATCTTCTCTGAGCACATTGTTCCTCTTTTGATTTGGGTCTCATCCTGCTCGGAGGGCACCTGAGCTGCTGGTGGTCTTTATTTGGGTAAGCACAGCTCAGGGAGGAACAGTCCTCACAGATTTGCCCTACATAGGCACTTTGGATCTAGGAGAAATCCAGATGACTGCACCATGTCAGCAGCATCCAAGAGAACCTGGGGGAGTAGCACAGGTCCCTGGCAGGAGGGAAACCCCATTCCCCTGTCATCCCTTGGGGCTTTCCCCTTCCCCTCCTGGGTGGTGCTGACTGCTCAGCTTTAGCCATTGCCTGCCCTCTAAGCCCCCATTTTTCCAACAGGAGAGCACCAGTCACGCCTTCCCCCTCCACTTTAATTAGAGAAGGCTGCTCCTGTGCTGTAAAGGTCCTGGGATCAAATCTGGCTAATAACTCCCTTCCCTCCCGGTCCCGTGTTGTTCCACTTAATCCTGTAATTACTTCAGCAAAGCTGCAGTGGCCCCTGGTCTGCTGGGTGGTGACCCTGGGCCTGCCGTAGGCACCAGCATCCGTGTCGAGGGAAGTTTGCTCTCCTTGCCCTGCCTCACCTGCTGCACTTGCCTGGTGCATTCTATTTTGGGGACCAAGCACCCACCTAATGGCTCAGCATCGGGAGACCTGGAGCTCTGGGTGCGCATCTGTGCCCTCGGTAGCACTGCTTCCTGGAAAGGTGATGGGAAAGGAACCCATGGTGTGCTGGAGCACTGCCCTGACAAGTCTCCCACAAGGCAGGGAAATGCTGCCGGTTGCTCTGGGAAGCGTGTGGCTGTAGGGAGAAGGGGTGTGGAGGCGTTGGATGTGGTAGCTAATTTTTTTTTTTTAAAGCACTTCTGAAGCACTCCGGCGGTGTGACTTCCTTCCAAACCGCACTGGCTGTTAGCATTCCCCGAGTGGAGGAGTGAGGAAATCGCCCACCTCAAAAATGCAGCCGCTTCTGGGGAGGAGCTGGGAGGGTGGCCGCTTCCTTGGGCAGGGTGAGCCCCACCACCGTGTGCCCCCAGCCCACGGGTACTGCTGGTGGCCACCTGAGAGTCTCGCAGGGGTCACCGTCGGAGTGCTGTCCCCGAGAGAGGCACAGCATCGCTTACATCCCTCCTCGTGCCAGATCCAGGCGCATGCTGGGCTGGATTTTGCGCCGAGGGGCTCATCCCATTTCTCCCTGCTTAGTCAGCAGCGTCTCCATTTGATCTGAACTGGGGGCAGCAAAGATGGGAAGTGGGAAGGGGGAAGCAGATGGGGGCTGGGGAGAGAACTACCCACTCCCAGGCCTCTCTGGCAGCTTGCCGTCAGTCCCAGGGTCATGCTGAATATGCATAAAAGGGAGCAGATTGCAGCTTGCCCTCCTCTCCGATACGGAGGTGAGGCCCACGGAGACCACCGGCCCCGGCTCTCTTTCAGCGGGATAATGGGGTGAGCCGAGCGCGGAGCGTGCGTGCCTGTGTGTGGTCTCGCGGATGATAATGATTTCCATTCATGCCCTGCCTCCGCAGAGCTGATGTGCCGCCGGGCGAGCGTTGGCTCCCCTGTGGCTGCTCCCCAGCAGGAGTAGAGCCCCCAAAAGTTTGGCACTGAATCTCAATGGCTTGTGCCTTAGTAAGGCTGGTGGACAGGACAGAGCTTCCCATCAGGGCAGGGAGGACAGGCAGGAGATGCTTGTGCCATCTGTGCACTCCTAAAACAGTGACAACCCTGGCCTGGTCCTAGACCTGCTCATAGACCCAGTGCTCATAATGACTTCATCTCTGGGCTCTCCCCTTGCTGTCCCCTGGGCAGGTGTTACCCCACACCTTTGTGTCTTACCAGATGTGGAATTACAAGGCCTTTGCAGGTGGCATGCTTGAGCCAACCCTGCTCCTGTCATAGAATCATAGAATCAACCAGGTTGGAAGAGACCTCAAAGATCATTGAGTCCAACCCAGCAAGTCACCTTGCTGCCACATAGCACAGAGGGGTCAGAGTGTGGAAGAGACTCCTCTTTGGCAGAGTTTAATAGGTGCCTTGCTCTATACATCCTGAGTCCTCCTGGAGTGGATAGATGCAGCTGCTGAGGTACCCCTGGGGGTTTCTCCTCTCTTTTCCTGGTGCAGAGGTTTTCCCATGGGGTTGTCCCCATGCTGCTCTGCAGGTGGTGGGATGGGAGGTGATAGTGGTGGCAGCACTTCTTTCTGGGGTGTGTGGTGGGGTGGGGATAATGGGGCTGGCAGCATCACAGGGCTCAAGGTGCTGTGGTATGTGCATGGCCAGGTTTTGCCAGGCATTGAGGGGAGTCTGTCACCACTTTGCAGCCCTCTTTTCTGGGTGTGAGTACAGGAGCAGGGCTCTGCTGGTGGGCTGGCAAGGGCCTTGGCTTGCTGCCCACAGCTCGGCACCAGGCAGGGGCTGGTCCCATCAGGATTGTGTCAGGGGATTAACCAGCCACTGCCGTTGCTCAACAGTTCCTGGACAGGCAGATGCTGGGGAGCAGCCACAGCTTCATCTCCTGCCCAGGAGGCAGCTGCCTGCAGTGAGGCTGGGGGTCCTAGTGGAGCCCTGTGGGCTGCCTGCAGCAGAGGACTCTTTGCTGCCTGGTGCTTGTGGCACGGCACAATCTCTGCTATGGTGACTGCTACATCCCTGCAGTCTAATCCTGCAGTGAAACTCCTCAAGTAGGGGGTTCTCAGTGCTCTGGACACTCCAGGGACAGCATCCCTTGTCTTGCTGGCCACCAAGCCATCGAGTCATGGGCTGATATGTCCCCAGAAGGCTCCACAGCACTGACAGAAAGTGGGGGCTGTGCTGCTGGGGCGATGCAGGGACCACCAAGAAAGCTGCCAATTTTTTTCATCAGCGAGCATCTCCTTTTCCATCAGCAAAGGATTAATCAGTGAGGAAATGTCACAGAAATGACAGAGGCAGGGTTTATCCTCGGGGAGATGTCTTGGGATGGGCTGAGTCCCCTGTTGCCCCCTCAGCAGGCACAAGCTCTGGCTGCTGGGCTGAGCACGGCTGGGCAGGGAGGAGCTTCCCTCTATTAGTGGTTTGGCAGCCTAGAGAGGCAGATTTCTTCCACAGTCGCAGCTCTTTTTTATTTGCAAAATGGAATAACAAACCAAAAAGAAGTCCTGGATCGTTTGAAATGGGCTGTCCCGTGCAGCCTCCTTCAGCCAGAGTGGGCAGCCGGACAGGCAGGAGTGGTGCTGGGGCTGTAGATGGGGAGTGGAGCTGGGGATGCTGGGCTGGGTTGTGCTGGTGGCACAGGTCTTCATTCCTCAGAATGAAGCACAGAACCCAAGTTATCCTTTAAGGATTTACTACTAGGAGAGGGGATGATCAGGGAATCTCCTCCTCCATCCTGGCCATGGCATGGGCTAGTAGAGGCTGGAGAACTTGGCTTTGGTTCAGCACAACCCCTTGGGTTGGCAAGGTTGATGCCACTCACCAAGCCAGGCAGCTCAGGGGTCTGCTACCAGCTGCAGTGCTCAGGGCCATTCTCTGGTGACTTGCATGAGCCACGGTTGCTCACATAAAGCTGAGGATGGGACATGGCTGATCTGCATGATCACTCCTGCTGATGAGCAGTGAGGGATTGGTGTGGATAAGGCAGCAGAAAGTAATTGTCTCCCTTCCCTGCTCCCAGGATGCTGTGTCAGTGGAGTAGGAAGGCAGGCACAGGTGAAGGACCAGACATGGAATTGTTCCCCATCCCTAACCATTCCCCTTCCAGCATGAATAGTGCTGTGGCTGTGCCACTGTCAGTACTGTTCACTCTTTTTTTCCTCTCACCCCAGGGAGGAGCCGCTTCCCTCACCCCAGGAGGATGGAGGTCCTGCAGCTCCTGCGCCTGCTCCTCACCACTGCCATGCTGGGCCTCTCCCAGACAGTGAACCCCTTTGTGGCCCAGCAGACTCCCCCAGACCCTTGCTACGACGAGAGCGGTACTCCTCGCCGCTGCATCCCTGAATTTGTCAATGCTGCCTTCGGGAAGGAAGTCCATGCCTCCAGCACATGTGGGAAGCCCCCAACACGGCACTGCAATGCCTCAGACCCCCGCCGAGCCCACCCACCTGCCTACCTGACCGACCTGAACACTGCCTCCAACATGACGTGTTGGCGTTCAGAGACCTTCCACCACTCACCCCAGAATGTCACCCTCACCCTCTCCCTTGGCAAGAAGTTTGAGGTGGTCTATGTCAGCCTCCAGTTCTGCTCACCCCGTCCTGAGTCCACTGCCATCCTCAAGTCAATGGACTACGGCAAGACGTGGGTGCCGTACCAGTACTACTCCTCTCAATGCCGTAAGATCTACGGCAAACCCAGCAAAGCCACTGTCACCAAGCAGAACGAGCAGGAGGCCCTGTGCACTGATGGCCTCACTGACCTCTACCCACTCACTGGAGGGCTCATCGCATTCAGCACCCTCGACGGACGACCCTCCGCCCAGGACTTTGACAGCAGCCCCGTGCTCCAGGACTGGGTGACAGCCACAGACATCCGTGTGGTCTTCAGCCGCCCGCATCTCTTCCGTGACCTTGGCAGTCGGGATGCTGGTGAGGAAGAGGGGGGCACTGGCTCGACCCCCTATTACTATGCAGTGGGGGAGCTGCAGGTCGGTGGGCGCTGCAAGTGCAACGGGCACGCGGCGCGCTGCGTCAAGGACAAGGAGCAGAAGTTGGTGTGTGACTGCAAGCACAACACGGAGGGTCCCGAGTGTGACCGCTGCAAGCCCTTCCACTACGACCGACCCTGGCAGCGAGCCAGTGCCCGCGAGGCCAACGAGTGTCTGGGTAAGGGAGTTTTAAACCTTCTTGTTTTCTGGGGCTGCACTGCTAAAACAGCCGATTGGGGAAGGAAGTGGTGGGTGCTGAGCTGAAGTGAATGGAGTGTGCTTGTCTGGAGATGCTGGGGAGCATCCCTCTTGCTGGTGGGCTGTAAAAGGCTCTAGCATCCACCCTGTCTTTGCTGCAGGTGTCCCCTCAGAGGTGCAGTGGTTGAGCCATGAACCAAAGCACCAAAACCCTTCCCAAAATCCTTCCCAAAATAACCAGTCTCTTCCAGCTGGTCGGCAAACCTCAGTGTGGGATGCCCAGCTGAGAGTGTTTCGTGTTTCCCTCAGGCAGCAAACCAGCTGTCCCTGTGCTGGAGCAAGAATTGCAGTGATCCCCTGTGAGATGTGCTTGGGGACAGGGAGTGGGTAGAAAAACCTGGCAGAGACTGGGGAAATACTGGAAATATCCTGAATCAACATTTCATCCTCTGCATTCAGTCTGGTGTGGTTTTAGCTTGTCTGTCCTTACAAAAATTTCCACGAGTTAAAAATATTGTCATCAAATTGAAACATTTCCAGAACATCGAACTGGTGTTCCTTGGCTGTCCTGCTCACGAATCTTTGTGGGAGTTTGGTGGGGATTTTTGCCTTTTGTCCTCATATGGGATGGGGCTGGGGGATGCCAGAACCCTGTGAAGGTCTGGGAGAAGGAGGAACAGCCTCTCACTCCTCCTGGACCAGAGCCCGGGTCCCAGGAGGTGGCGGGAGGATGGAGACAAGGGAAAGCCGTACCATTAATCAGCCTTTGAAAGGCTCAGTGGATGTGCCAGAGGTCAGAAGGACTTGTTAGTATTTGTGATCGATGTCTTGTTGAGATTCCAGCTGTCTGCTTCAATATACACGTTACAGCAGATTTCTTCTAAGAATGGCTAAAAAGGCAGCAGATTCAAAGCAAGTGCTGGAGCTGATGCTTCAAACCACCTCACGCCTTGTGGGAATGTGTCAGCCCTTGTGTTTTCCCACTTGTCTCAGAAAGATGAGTTTTGGAGCTCAGAAGAAAACCTCCACTCTGCTCCCTGCCCGGAGCTGCTGTAGGTCAGACAGGGAAGGACTCCAGCAGGTGGGTGAGCCCATGGAAACTCCCTGGACAGAAGGAGGAGCTCAGTCCGCTCGCTGCCTCCCTTGTGCCACCCCACACTGCGTCTGCCTCGCTGCCACATCCTCCAGTAAAGCAGCGTGATGACAGCAAGAGGTGGCTCTGCCGGCACAAAAGGGGTTAAACCAGAGGAGGCGTTTTTTGGGGAAGCATCTGCAGGTTTTCTGTCCATCTTGTCCGTGGCGGGGTGAGAGTCCCGCGCCGCAGTCTTGCTCTGAGCATCCTGCCCCCAGCTGCGTCACCCTTTCGGCAGATGGGGCTGAAAAGATAAACGAGGGAGGGAAGAGGAGGCGGAGGCACAGCGCGGTCCCTTCAAGCCCCCCCGCAACAGCCCCGCGCACAAAGACCCTTCCCCGAGCTGCGTGTGAAAGTAGTTTTTTCCTGTTGATTCGCTCCCCTTCTTTCTCCCTTTCCCCTCTCGGGCTTTGTGCCCTCTCTGAAGGGACCTGAAAGAGCTTCTCCATCACCCGCCTCCGAAGGGCTTAGCGGCTGAAAGCTGGATTAGCTCCCCGAGCCTTCCCCTCTGTGCTTTTCAACAATGACATCTCCCCAGCCAGCACGAACAGACGCAGCAATTAGCACCAATTAAAAGGAGAGGCTGCCCGGGAAGTTCCCTTTGCTCAGCCTGGGGGCTGTGGTGTTTCGGACTCTGTCCTGCGCTCGGGCATCAGTGATGCTGGCTCGTGGTTGGGGATGTCACACGTGCCTTGGGAGGGGTGAGGAGGAGGAAGGTGGATGGATGCAGGAGCTTGGCAGCTCAGTGACAGCTGAGGGGAAGCAGAGGGGAGGTTGCAGCACCCTGAAAGTGGGTTCAGATGGAGCCATGGGGCTGGTACAGCTTCAGGTCATGTTGGGTTATGTCACCTCTTGGCTCTGTGCTCCCCAACACGGGTTTGTTCCCCCCCAGTGCATGGGAGTCTCTGCCTGTTCCAGCATGGGGGTCAAACTGACGTCCTGCAGCATGGCATGGTGCTGGAACATCCGTCCATGCAGCTGGAAGTGAGGACAAGCTTTTGTTCCACCAGAATTTCTGCCTCTGAGAAATGCCCAGTGCTGGTGAGGTCTGAGCATCATCACTGGGCACAACCCCACTACAGCTGCCATAGGGTGGCTGTGATGTTCATGGGTTCATTGCTGTGCTGTGGTGTTAAGGGGGTCAGTGTGAGTTTGGCAAGCAGACAGGTTTGGGGATATTGCAGCCAGGACAGTAGATTTGCCATGCTGTCGGCTTGGCAAGAGGGCACAGTGCCAGCTCCATGGTGCAGGATGCATGGCCCTGTGCCTGGTGGTTAGAGTGAGGCCACTGGTCCATAGGCACATGGAGCTCTCCTGATACCCCAAAGGGGCTGCATGTCCCACAGGGAGTGTGTCCTGCCAATATTGGGATGTTCTGTATGCTCTCTATGTTCTCTGGTGTGCCTGGGGCAGGGAAGAGAGACGTGTGTCCCTATCCGTGTGTCCTCCCAAGATGTTTAGCTTGGGACAGGCTCAGTGAAGGATAATCCCAGCAGGGTGGCTGGCAGGAGTAGATTTGCCAAAATCCTGGGGAACCCTGTGTGATGCAGCAACTTTATCCTTGCAGACTCACACCTCCTCCTCCTCACCACTGCTGCCAGTCCCAGCCTGCACCCACAAACTGCTGGGGGCAGCCTGGTCACCCAGTCGGCAGCCTGTCCCGCAAACACTCGGCCTGGGGCAGGGGGGGAAGCGGATTAGCACGAGGCAGCCACTGGAAGTAATTGATGCACTCGCTGGTGATGCGGGAGCTCTTGTTCCCTTTGTGGCTGCCACGGTGGGAGCACTCCCCAGAGCACCGGGATAATGCACAGGGCTTGCTTTGATCCGGGGCCTCGGCGGGGAAGAGGCTGTGCTCTGCTGGGAAGACATCGCTGGCTGCTGCTCTCTCCACTTTGGGCTGGGGGGCTGTGATGATCCAACTGGGATGCCAGTGCATGAAAACACTGATCCCAGGAGCAGGGGTGGGATTTGGAGGCTTCCCGTGTGTTCTCTGCCCCTTCTGGTACATGTTTGCTTTCTTTTTCTCAGTGCTTCCCATGCAGAAATAATCTCAGAAATCACCCAGTCATTTTACCCTGGGCTGGTTTAGCCTTGGAGCAGGACCCATGCTGCTGGTGACCTGTTGACTGTCATATCTGCAGCCCTCTCCTGTGCAAGTTTCCCTGACAGGGTTCTCACCTGTTCCCCAGTAGATGTGCTGGAAACCAATGAGTTCCCAGCAGCATCAATCACGGTCCTTCCCTGGAGCGAAGGTGATGTCTTTGGGACGTGGGCAAGTGTGCAGCATCCCCATGTGTGGGCACCAGTGCCCCATGGGATGCAGTATCTCAGTGGATCTGAGGTGCAGGGCAAGGAAGCCAGCAGAGGAGATGAACACTTCTCTCACCATCCTGAGTCCTGCCTCTCCTGGGATGAGGCTGGAGTGGCTTGGCCTTGCCCCTTGCAGCCCCTCAGGGAGGGCTCTCCCCTTCTGCTTTTCCCCTTTCTTCTTAGCAGCAGCAGAGCAAGCCCCAGCCCCTCTCACTTCCGCTGGGCTGAAGGGGCAGTGTGGGTGGGAGGGAAGGAGCTGTTCTGGTCTCAGCTCCCATCCCTGGGGCGGAGGTGCAGTCCCATCCTGCCTGGCCATCCCAGCTGGGCTCTACTCCAGCCAAAGCAGGGGCGTAGCTCGAATCCACTGCGGGTTGGCAGCGACGACGGGTCTAGGGTTTCGCTGAGCCGACTGCCTTCCCTAATTATTCCCAAGGAACTTGTAGGGGCAGCAAGCCCTGCTCCTGCCCTGCAGGCTCCATCGCCTGCCACACGTGTGCCTTGGTGCATGGCACTGCCTGTCTCGTGCTGGGCTCCCTGTCCCAAACCCCCTCGTGTTGTCATTCAAGGTTCTTCCATCCACAGTGACTCAGAGGAGAGATTGTGAGGGCTTGGGCAGGGGTTCAAACACCAACAAAAGGGGGACAGAAGTTTGTTCCATTGCAAGGTGTCAACGTTTAATTAGTCTATTATTGCAAATTATTAGATCTTGTGATTGTTTAATTGATCATATGATTGTTTAATTGGGCATACTGTACAGGGGCGGAAGCGAGCTACCACGTAATTAGCCCCAAACTGTGCAATTAAATTCTTATTAATACCCCAAACAGCAGGGAACATTCAAGCCTTTAATTAGTGATTAACGGGAGACAGACAGAGCTTGCAACCGCCTCAGTGCTGAGGAACAGTGAGAGTATTTAGCTGTATAAGAGGGAGACCCGTCTGCCCTGATTAGCGCCGGGTGGCTGCGCCGGGGGGTGAGGGGACGGTCACGCGTGCTGCTGTGACCCTGGCCCTGAGTGGGGACAGCCATCCATCCCAGCCTAGCCAGGTTGCCCATGTTGACTCTCCAGATTTGCTCCAAAATCCCAGCCTGGCTCTGCTGAGCTGGCGGCAGTTTGCCGACAGCCAACTCAGAGCAGGCAGCACCACTGCCTGCAGGAGAAGGGATGATGCTGGGCAGTAAGGGGAGGTTTCTCCCCAGAATCCAGCTCCTGGGAGGATCTGCAGCATGTTCCCAGGGAAAGGCAGCCGTAAAGCTGTGCTGGGGTCGGTGATGCTAGGAAAAGGCTCCAGCCTGTTACTCTCTCACCAATTAAACAGGAGGCAGAGAGGGACCCGTGTCGAGAGCGGCGAATCATTTACCCAGCTGTTCTCCTCTGCTGCCCATCACCTCTGCTCTGGGTTGCCAGTCCAGAGGACACTGGGAACATTCCCAAAGGGACACAAAACTGCCTTTTGGGGTGACCCAACTGGCCTTTCGGTGCTGCAGAGGGATAACAAGGCCCCTTTACTCCCAAAAGTTGCTCATTTGCCACAGTTCTGTGCAGCTGACTCAATTCAGTGGGAAAAACTGCCCTGGCTTGTCCCTGTCCCATTATCTGAAGAGTTCAAGAGCATCCTGGATGTTGGGATACTTCATCATGTCTCTGCTGGCCCAGAAAAGCCTGGCTGAGCATCAGCATCCCCAGCACAGCAGATTCTGGGCTGCCTGGGGCCTTGGGCAGTATTTGTTGCTGTCCTTCCAGTCACCACAACCCAGAATTTGTCTCAAAAATCGCTATTTTCCACCAGCACAAGTGAAAAAAAATTAGCTCAAAAGGCACAAACCTCCAAAGGCACCTACAGCCTCACTGGGTGTTATTTTGATGCCTGACATGTGATTTTTCGCTAATCTCATAGCGCGGGGGAGCTCCGGGGGCAGCTGAGGTTTGAGCATGTGGTGCTGGCACCAACCTTTCACTCAACTCAAGCCTCCAAAAAAAAGCTCCTTTTTTACGGTTGGGGTTTGTCCTGAGTTTCTTCCCTCAGCATCTCCGTGGCCTGAGCACCGAGTCAGGCAAGGGAGTGTTTGATCTGCACAGGGTGAAGCTCCCACCGGCGCTGCTGGCTGCAGGGAGGCAACTTCACACGCTGCCGAGCCAGGCCCGGGCAGTTAAATCCAGGCTGACACGTTAATGAATTTCACAGTACGCCTGGAAAAACTCTCACCCAACCTCAATTTACCAGCACAGGGAGGGGGCCGGGGTTGGGGGAGCAGGGCGACGTGTTTTGCCGAAGGAAATCTTGTTCCCATTATCTTTTTGCGAGAGTGTTAAGCAGGAACGGGCAGTGCTTTGCCTTTTTATCTCGCACACGTGGAATCGGCCTAGGGGGACCGTGTGGTTCCTGGGGCTAATTTGTGTGTGTGCATGTAACAGTATGCAGATGTTTCTCTGCACATCTGTATGTATGCACATGTAACACTGCCTGGATATTTAGGTGCACATCTGTGTGCATATATGTTCCTGTGTACGTTTGCATGTGAGCTTGTGCGTGTGTTCTTGTGTACTTTTGTGTGTGCACAC